GGTTTTGAGATTGCACAAGGATAATTGAACTTTTAATGCTTCATATTACTTTCATGGATCATTATGGACCCCCAAGATTACTCATGTCAAGTTTCAAGCCTTGGATCACACTTTTGCTCAGTCAATTGAGCAGTTGACCTAAAAATCAGTTGTATTGGGGAAAAAGTTAACTATGGCCAATTTATAGTCAAACTTCATAATTTTTGATCCACATCAATATTATAAACTCATATGTATCATTTGATCAAGTTTGGACCATAATTCCTCAAGAAATTTGACCTAACTTCATAGCACTTTTTCATATAGTTCCAAAGGAAATTTTCAAAAGTGATTCAAAGAGGGGTTTTAGAGCACATTACAAGATTTCCAAAATGTCCAAGAACTCCTTGATATCATTTGTGATCAAGGAGAATCGAAGAGATAAAGTTAGGGTTTTCAAACTTAAATTACAAGCCATTTCATGATGAACAAAAATTCAAATCTAAGCCTAGGCTGTATAATCTTTGCTTTGCAGGCCTTAAACTTGTTTGTCACTCCATAATTAAATGTTTATACAACTGATAGAGCTTTAATCCAAGCACTTGAGCCTTTGTCCAAGTTACATTTCAATTTATGGCACAAAGTTGCCATTTCCATTTTGATAAAGCACTACTTTTGCAATTGTCAACTTCTTGAGATTTAGACTTGTTCTTTCTGCACACACAACCCCTATAAACCATAAGCAACATGTCTAAAGCCTCTTTGAGCTCAGAACATGCTTGTACAACAGTTTGAGTTTTGTCCTCTCACTTTTCTTCAAAATCAAGTCATAGAGCCAAAAGGCTAGAATTCAGAAACCTTGAGGGAATTTGATCTATAATCTTTTCCATACATATACACAAGTCTATTGCAACATAACACACGAATGCTAAGACCCCAAAGCACTCCCAAGCACTCTGCAACTCAGAATCTGCCTTAACTTGACAGTTTTAAACATCACACAACCATCTCCAAATCTACTCGTGCGTATTGAGTTTTAACCATCCAAACACTTAATATACAACATATCAAAGTGATCCAGACCCTAGTTTCTTAACTGTAACTCCTCCATCACCATCCACCATTTCCAAATTTGAAGCTTGCAACTTGACTTGAGTTGAGAGTTTCATCTATCCTCAAAGCAAAGTAGGAGTTGGAACATACTCAAGGAGGTCCAGGCAAGCTACATAAATCATCAGGCCATCACAAAGGTTGCTCAAACTCCATACACGACTCCAGCTGCAAGAGGTAAGTTTTCAAACTTCCATCTCTTCATACATGCATCATTTGATTTTGATTTGTGAAGATAAAATGTAGATACCATTGCCACGAAGCTGTACATATCCATAGTTTGCATTTATATGGCATGAGCTTAGAGAATTTTAGAGTTGAAGTTTTCTGAAATTTTTAGGTTTTGAATTAGGGACAGAAAAATTATCATTCATCTTTGACTGTTAGCTTAAGTTATTTACATGGTTGGATTCGTGGGAAGAAATGCCACAACTTTCATGTTTGAACTTTTCATTTTTGTTGAGAGATTAAGAAGATACATGTCCTTTGGCTGGAGGTTGAAGATGTAGTGTAATTAGGGCGCGTTTTGTGTTATGTATTTATCCTTTCACACAAATTAACGGATGTATCACCACCCCAGTGGTTAAAGCGCGCGCATGTCACCCTTAGATCCTGGATTCAAGCCCCAGCGTGACCTTTTGTTATTTTTTCACTATTTTCTGACTTTTTGTGTTTTTTTGGCAGCGCCTGGGCTTTCATGTGAGCCTAATCCTTTTTTCTCACAATACCTCTTGCATTACTAATCCACCTCCCTAACTATTTTTTTAATTTTATTTCATTTTTTTATTTTTATTTATTATTATTATTAATACTATTGTTATTATTATTATTATTATTACTATTATTATTTTCATAAAATCATAAAAAAATCCAAATTTATTTATATTTATTATTTATACTTATATATTTTATTTTCTCCATAAAACAAAAAGACTAAAAAAACGTTTTCTTAAAACAAATTAATTTCTTCTTAAAAAATTAATTTTTAGACTTACGTTAAATTAGTATATTATTTTATTTTCTAGTTAAAATTAATTTAGAATTTAGGTTGATTTTAATTAATTAATATTCATATTATTTTTATTAAGTTAAAACCTTTTTCATAAATAAAACCCTAAAATACATTTTTAACTTAATTTCCTTCTTAATTAATTTATGTTTAAATTTTTTGTTCAATAATCATTTTTCTTAATTAGGTCAAGACAAAACCACTTTCATAAAAAACAACAAAAATCATATCTTTTTCCATTTATATTCTTGCATTTTATTTTCAATTTTGTACAATATTTAATATGGTTGTAATAGATAATTAGGTTTAATTTTCTTGCAATCCTCATTTGTAAATTTGTTCACCCCCTCCCCTAATGATGTAATAGTGTAGTAATTTTACTTTTCGCAATTTATCGCTTTATATAAATGCTAGTAATTAGGGTTTGTATGAGAAGATAAAATCAACAAGTAGCAAACCCTAATCAAAGACTAAACAAAGCATGAAAATCAATACACTTTCACACAAGCACCCCTAGGGTAAAATCCACTTGGTTGCCTTATAAAAATGGCCATATTATGCATGTGAGGTATCTTAGCAAAAACAAGCAAAAATACAAGATCATAGTCCCTCAATGATGCTATCTATGTTACCTTTTCAAAATGATCTTAGTCCTTAAAGAAAGATGCTAAGATACCTTGCAACATTGCTAATCATGGTTATACAATGACCCACGCCCGTCCCATTTACATCCAAAGATAGGGTTACTTACCAAATCAATGGTAATATAACAATGTAAAAGAAAAGAGGAAATAAACATAAAATACTTTTGAGTAGGTAGAATGTTCCTAGTTACTTGCTCACTTTCAAAACAAAACATCCTTGCTATTTCCAAAACAAACACCAACACTTTTAAAAAACATCTTTCAAACTTGAAACATTTTCAAAAGATCAACATCTTTGTATACATTCTTACGAATGAGAATCATTACAAAGTTTGCCTAAACATTGGCCTCTTTACAAAATACTTTCAAAAACCACACAAAGCACAATTTCAAACAAAAGCAAGTGATCTAGCAAGTAACTAAGAGCCCATAGATAACTATGGATGAAAAGAGTTCTAATACCTCCCCTTTTCATAATCTACCCCCCAAACTCAAGAAAAAATCTCTAAAGGTCTTTCCTGTACTTTTTCACCTTTCCTTTTGGATAAAAGAAAAGTTGGTGACAACTCTTGTTAACCGCAACATTTGCGATAAAACGCAAAACAACCAAGTCAGTTCTCCCACCATATCACACAAGTCAAACATGAAAGAAAATAAATGTGATCTAGCCCTAAGGTAACCCCACTTTTAGAATAGTCCCCAGTAGAGTCGCCAGTTCTGTAACACGGTGGGAGAACTGACTTTGTCATTTTGCGTTTGATCATAAATGTTGCGGTTAGTAAGAGTCGCCACCGATTTTTCTTTTATCCAAAAGGAAAGGCTGAAAAGAATAGGAAAGACCTTTGAGATGTTTTCTTGAGTTTGGGGGGTAGATTATGAAAAGGGAAGGTATTAGCATCCTTTTCATCCATAGTTATCTATGGGATCTTAGTTACTTTCTAGATCACTTGCTTTTGTTTTAAAATGTGCTTTGTGTGGTTTTTGAAAGATTTTGTAAAGATGCCATCGTTTAGGAAAACTTTGTAATGATTCTCGTTCGTAAGAATGTATACAAAGAGTTGATCTTTTGAAAATGTTTTCAACTTTGAAAGATGTTTTTGAAAGTGTTGGTGTTTGTTTTTGAAAATAGTAAGGATGTTTGGTTTTGAAATTGAGCAAGCAACTAGGAACAATATACCTACTCAAAAGTCTTTCATGTTTATTTCCTCTTTCCTTTGACATTGTCATCTTACCATTAGTTTGGTAAGCAACCCTATCTTTGGATGTAAAAGGGATGGGCGTGGGTCATCGTATAACCATGATTAGCAATGTTGTAAGATATCTTAGCATTTTCTTTAGGGACTAAGATCATTTTTGAAAGACAACTTTGATAGCATTATCGAGGGACTATGATCTTGTATTTTTGCTTGTTTTTACTAAGATAACTCACATGCATAATATGGCCATTTTTGTAAGGCAACAAAGTGGGTTTACCCTAGGTGTGTATGTGTGCAAGTGTCACTACTAAAAAAAAGACATTTGAGAAAAGGTTTTTACATCGGGTATCAAAATAGGTGATGTAAAAAATACAGTTAACAAACTTTTTACATCAGGTATTTATTTCCAATGATATAAAAAATAAGGGAAAAAATTTTTTTCGTCACCTATTACATCGGGTAATCTCATCCACCGATGTAAAAGATTTCCAGAAAAAAAACACGGTGGCATTTTTGTAAATAAGAAACAAGGTGACAAAAAAGTTAAAAAAAATATAAGAAAGCTATTACATCGGTCTAAAGACAAACCGATGTAAAAAATGATTCTTTGAATTAATATATAAATTATATTGAAAATTAATAAAAACGTGGAAAAAAAAAAAAAAAACATATTAAATCGGTGAAATATTCCACCGATGTAAAAGCCTAAGAATAATTTTAAAAAAAAAAAAAACCTATTAAATCGGTGGAAGTTCCCACCGATGTAAAAGCCTAAGAATTATTTTAAAAAAAAAAAAAAAACATATTAAATCGGTGAAATACTCCACCGATGTAAAAGCCTAAGAATAATTTAAAAAAAAAAAAAACCTATTAAATCGGTGGAAGTTCCCACCGATGTAAAAGCCTAAGAATTATTTTTTAAAAAAAAAAAAAAACATTAGAAACATAAATCTCTCTCTTTCTGGCATTCTCATCATTTACATTTCATATATTAAATAATCAAATCAATCACCCACCTCTTCTTTCTCAGATCTTCATCTTCTTCTGAGCTCCATATACAAAATGATCGGATCTCGTCTCTGCATCCAACCAATCACCGCCGTCACCTCCCTCACCGCCGATCACACAAATGCCGCCACCTCCCGCTCCGTCTCTCACTCCATCTCCTTCGATTTCTCCCCCATTCACCTCCCTCTCCTCCGCTCCCGTCGCTTCCACTTCCCTAAACCCAAATCCTTCCTCATTTCCTGTAATTCATCTCCCATCAGATCCACTTCCGGCGACCACCACCACAACAACAACGACACCGATTTTCTCGAAGCTTCTCTCCTTCTCTCAGGTCCTCACTATTTTCCCTCTTTCTTTCTAGGTCATTTACACTATTCACCATGAATTCTTAAATTAACAAATAAATATATACAATGAAGCATTACTTATTGTCTATATTATTTTTTTGTGAAAGTTTTTCGAAATGATGATACAGTAGTGTGTGTATTATAGTAGTAACTGTGGTTTTTTGATCATTTAGGTAACTATCCATCATGTGTATGAATCGCTGAAATTTTAAATTACTTAAACTAGCGCAGAAACAATAACACACTATGGTATGTGGAGACACCGTTTTCAAGATGAGTTACAATGGAAATCACCCATCTCATCATTTCCACAACACACCTCAAGAACGGATAGTAGTTTATTAAGACAAGATGTTCTACAGACTTTTCAGAATCCCACCATTTTTCTCAAGATTTCTTGTGATGGAGACTATGTTCTGCCCATTGTTGTAGGTATGACATGTCTGTTCTGTAATCTGAGTTATTCTTTTCTTGGTTCTTTCTAGAATTTTTTTGTTTGTTGACTTTGATTCTTTGATGATGCAGGAAGGGTTGCTATTGAAAAGCTTATAGACACGGAAGTTGAAGAAGAAAGTGAGGTAATTATTTGACTTGTATCCCAATGTTTGTGGACTTGATATTTATTTATTTATTTATTTATTGATCCTTATAAAATGGTGGTGATATTGCAGGATTTTCCGGACCAGTTCCAGTTTGTGAAAAATCTAGTTGAAAGACTAGACCATGAAGTATGGAACTAAGCATTTTAAATTGATACCATTGAATATTCATTTAATGACTTCATTTTAGTGTGTTTGTGTTCTGTTAATATCTTTTGTTTACTCTCTGATGCTTGTCTGTTAGGTTCAGTTTAGGCAGTAATATTTATGCATATAGTAGCAACAAAAAGTATTTCACTATATTATACCATATTAATATTCTTGGAACTTTGATTTTTATGAATTCTTCTCGACAAAGAAATGCTATCTTTATGAGAACCTCCTAATAAAGCTATAATCTCTCATTTCAATATTCAACACCCATGGCCAAATCATAAATTACCCATCTATTAGTACTCGATTATGAATGTCATTTATTTGGTCTAATTGCATCGTAAATTTCCGTCAAGGAAATCGTGTGAGATCATAGCATCGGTACCTATTTCATGTTTGTGTTTGAGAAGTACCATACTAGAAAGAAAGAAGTATTGGTTGTTAAAAAGAGTATAGTTTGAATAAAGTCATTTGGATCCTCTTAAGTGTAAATAATTTCACTTTAGCAGTTTTTCGACTTAATATGAATTTTTAAAAAAAACTCTATATTGTTATATTTATGTATTATAGGTATTTGATGACCCAACAGAATTAACACCAGATGATTTGTATGATTTGCGACTTCGTTGGGCAAAATGTTTCTTTGACTTACATGGAACTTAAGTTTAGCTGGTGAGTTTTATAGAATTGTATAAGTTGTGGTTTTTGCACAATATACATGTGGTTTTTGCTCATGTGTTGAGTTTCTTGATTTTTTTGCTGATGTTAATTGTTATTATTTATTGTCAGGCAATATGATTTTGGTGTTGTCTACCGAAGATTTTATATTGGTAATTCAAGTTTGGAAACTTAGAAATAGTTGAATATTTTAGTATATGTATATTTTGTGAATATTATGTAATTGTAAGTTTTGAAAAAGACTTATAAATAGTTGAATATTGTTTTATATTTTGTTAAGAATTTGTAATTGTAAGTTTGTATGTTGTAATACAATACAAGTTTGCAATACAAGTTTGTAATTGTAAGTTTGTTCAATTTGTAAGTTTGTTGTGAAAAATATGAAAACATCGTCCTAAATGTGATGTTGGAAAGCTATGAAATCTATATAGCGACATAAATATAGTCTGTTTGATATTGGAAAAATATGAAAAAATGGGTACAAATTATATTTGTATAGGGAAACCCAGAAAATAAATAATCTATTCCAAAAAAATTTCATACATTTTACATCGGTTATTAGTAAAACTGATGTAAAAACTTTCAATAAGGGACTTTTTACATCGGTTGGAAGTAATACCCGATGTAAAAAGTCGCGTCACTGGGGACTTTTTACATCGGGTATTACTTCCAACCGATGTAAAAAACTGGATCAATTTTTTAAAAAAATGTGCATAATAATTGTTTTTTACATCGGTTCATATATTATAACCGATGTAAAAAGGGTACTTTTTACATCGGGTATTACTTCCAACCAATGTAAAAAACTGGATCAATTTTTTAAAAAATGTGCATAATAACAGGTTATTACATCGGTTCTGATATTATAACCGATGTAAAAAAGGGACTTTTTACATCGGTCCCAGAACCGATGTAAAAAGTCCCTGATTTACTATATCACCTGACTTTACATCGGATCCAAAACCGATGTAAAAAGTCAATTTTACCCGATGTAAAAAGTCATTTCTGCACTAGTGTGTATTGGTTTACATGCTTGATTTGTCTTGATTAGGGTTTTCTAAGCATTGATTTTAATCTTTCCATACAAATCCTAATTACTAGCATTTGTATATAAAAAATTAAATTGCGAAAAATAAAAATACTAAGCTATTATATCATTTAGGGGAGGGGGTATACAAATTTACAAATTGGGAATTGCAAGAAATTAAAAACCCTAATTATTTATTACAACCATATTGAATTTGAATAAATATACAAAAATGAATAAGTAAAAATGCAAGAATGTAAATGTAAAAATAAATGATTTTGTTTATTTTTTATGAATATGTTTTTTGACCTAGTTAACTAAAATAAAATAATTAACTAAAGAATAAGAAAATTAAGATTAAATTAGTAAAATAAATTAATTTAAAGAGAACAAATTTTTTAGGGTTTTTGTGAATTTAATTAAATTAGTAATTAAAATTAATTAAATAAAAGTACTAAGTTCTAAGATGATTTTAATTTACAAGAAAATAATATGATAATAATTAAGACTAATTATCTAAGTATTTAAAAAAAGAAATTAATTTTTTAAAGGAAATGTTTTTTTGTTCTTTTAGTTTTTATGAAGAAAAATAAACAAAAAAATATAAATAATAAAATATAAATATTTTTTGGATTTTTTATTAATGAAAATAATAATAATAATAATAATAATAATAATAATAATAATAAAAGATGAAATAAAATAAAAATATAAAATTAAAGTCAGGGGGTTAAAAAAAGGAAATGGGGGTTAACAAAAGTAAAAGGGCCCAAGTCACGTTTCTTGTTGTAATCAGAAAAGTGAATAAAATGGAATTTGGGATTGGTTGTGGTATGAGCAAAAAGGGGGGTATTAGTGAGTAAAATGGATCAGGCCCAAGGTTCTGCTGGCCCAAGCGCTGCAAAGAAGGCAAAAAAATGTGAAAAATATATAAAAGGCAGCGCTGAGGTTCGAACCCACGACCTCTAGCAATAATGTGCGCTGCCTTACCACTGGGGTGGCTGTACATATGTTAACTTAAATGAAAGAATAAATACATAATGTAAAATGTCTCCATGACCTGTACTTCGTCTTCAACCTTTAGCCAGCCAGACCACCTGTATCTCATTCATTTTACATTTTTTTGCCTTCTTTGCAGCGCTTGGGCAAGCAGATCCTTGGGTCTGATCCATTTTACTCACTAATACCCCCTGTTTGCTCATACCACAACCAAGCCCAAATTCCATTTTATTCACTGAGGTTCGAACCCACGACTTCCACCAATAACGTGCGCTGCCTTACCACTGGGATGGCTGTACATCCGTTAACTTAAATGAAAGAATAAATACATAATGTAAAATGTCTCTATGACCTGTACTTCGTCTTCAACCTTCAGCCAGCCATACCACCTGTATCTCATTCATTTCTCAACAAAAAACGAAAATGCAAACATGAAAATTGTGCTATTTTTCCTCACGAATCTAACCATGTAAACAACTAAATCTATAGATCAAAGATGACTGAGAATTTCTCTGGCCCTAATTTGAACCCTAATTTTTTTCAAAAACTTCAAACTTAAAATTATCTAAGCTCAAGCCATGTAAATGAAAACTATGGATATGTACAGCTTCAGGGCAATGATATCTACATTTTTGCTTCAGAAATGAATCAATAATGATGCTTGTAGAGAGAGTTCAAAGTTAAGGAAACTTACCTCAAAACTGGAATTCGTATTCTGAGTTTGAGCACTCCTCAAGGTGTTGTGATGATCAGAATAGCTTCAGTGACCCTCCAGGATGCTAATGCAATGTTTAGTTTGTACTGGAGATGGCTGAATCGTACTGGAGAAGTCCAAGTGCAAAGCTCTGTTTTTAAAAATGGAAGATGGTGCAAATGGTGTTACAGTCGTGTAACAGGGTGTGGGATGAGTTCTATATGGTGTATGGAAGCTTTGTGATTGAATTTGAGTGAGAATGCACGAGTGAAATGTGTGTTTGAAATTCAAAGTCAGAAATGACACAAAAATGGAGTTTTTGTGCAAATTCTGATTTCAGGGAGTTTTAGGGAGTTTCTAGGCTTATGAATTAGTGTCTCTCTTACAAATTACTTTTGTATTACAAGCAAAAGGTTAGAGATGTTTTGTGCAAGGGATTTCTGAGTTATAGGGTTATGGCTAGGTTGCTTGATTTTGAAGAAAAGTGAGAAATGTAGTTTTAAGGTAGAAAGTACAAGCATGTAGAGTGGTTACCAACTTTAAACATGCTTATCTGACTTTTGAAGAGGAAGCTTGTGCATAAGTAACAAGTGAAAAGCTCAATGCAAGTTGACTTTGCATAAAGCTTGCTTTATGTAAATGGCAATGGTGCCTTTGTGCCATTAATGGAAAATTATCTTAGATAAAGCTTGAATAAAATGGATAATAGCTCAAAAGCAAGTGTAATCTTCTAATTAGGGAGATATTTTGAGGTTTAGAGGCCTTCAAAGTAAGATTGTGCAGCATAGGCTTGAGATTTGAATTCTTGTTCATCACAAATTTTTCCTTGCAAAACAACTTGAAACCCCAACTTCTGGCCTTCGATTCTCCTTGCTCACAAATGATCTCAAGGAGTTCTTGGACATTTTGGAAAGATTTTAATGTGATATACAACCATCTTTGAATCATTTTTGTAAAATACAAGTTTAACTATATGAAACTTGGCCAAGAAGTTAGGTCAAAATCCTTAGCAAAAATGCTCAAAATTTCACTAAGTGTTTTAGTTTTATGACCATGACTTCATGGATTAATAACTTGAGATCCAAGCATTTCTAGGATAAGTTGTGTAAAGAAATGTTTTAGACCTCATGGAGATATACAACTTTCATTTTGAAAGTTTCTTTTGAATCATCTTGCATCATGGTAAAAAATTGGCTCAAAGTTGTGAAACAATATGAAGTTTTCAACACTTAAAAAAATTTCTAAGTTTGGAAACTTTAACTTTTCAAAATGAAATCTTGACTTTTTTGATTTCTCGATGAACAAGTTTCATATTTTGACATGTTTTGATGAATTGTGATCTTTGACACTTGATTTTGACCAAAAAGTCAAAGTTTGACTTTTCAGTGTACAGTTTGACTTTTGATCAGTTGACTGGAAATATACTATCAATCAAATGACCTTGAGCAATGTTTTGAGTCATGTCATTAGGTCAAAATGATTCAATTGAACTCTTGAGATCATTCCTCAAACCAATTAACCATTTGCTAGGTCAAAAATCACAAATTGCCCTTTCTCAATCAAAAACCCTAATTTTGACCATTTTGCCCT